TCAACACAGGAATTGTGGACAGCTAAAAACATTCAATTTGTAACACTCATTGTGGTGTACATATCAAGAGAGCTTTATAATCCAGAATAAGCTGTTCTAATATAAGATATGTGTCTTCTATTAAAACCCTGGGATTAAAACTCCTGGTGTCTCTCCCATACGCTGGGCCACATTCTCAGGCTCCTTTAATGGCTGAGCCTCTTTTTCGGCTTTATCAATATGATATATGCCAATACTCATTTCTTGGTCCTTGTACAATCCACTTTGTGATTTGACATTTTCTTCAAGTCTTTGTCCAATTATCTCACCAACAATTTTAAATGTGGGTCTAGGACCCTAAGGAATCTCTCTAAACTGCAGAATCTTGTTTTCCTTCTTTTACATAACAATGGCCCCACTGGATGAGAGTGGTGATGCTGGGAATTCAGATCTGCCAAAGAGAAGCTAGACAGTGCTTCTTCTAAGTGAAAAGATGAAAGTTCTCAAGAAAAAAATCGTATGCTGAGGTTGCTATGATCTATGCGACAATAAAATATTGTGAAAAAGAGACCACATTCATACAACTTTCATTTCGGCATATTACCACATATTGCTGTAACTCTTCCATTTTATTATTTTTCTTTTTCATTTACCGTGACTAATTTATAAATTAAACTTATAATAGGTATGCATAAATGGGGAAAGACACAGCTTGTACAGGGCTCGCTACTGTCCTCAGTTTCAGGCATCCACTGGGGGGTCTTGGAATGTGTCCCTCATCAAGGAGGGGGCACTACTCTATCATCTTCCCCAATATCAGCATCTAAATAAGAGTCTACAGATACACTGACCACGTATATCATTGTTCAAACCAGTCTGAAAGGGTCTGGGCAAGCAAGGATACATGGGCACCTTGATTCTCCTTCCACTCCTCCTCTTTACAACGCTAAATCTAGGGCTGTGAGAAAAATCCCTAGCTGCATTATCTAAGGTTAGTTTGCCATGTCCAGGAAATGCGATTAAAGGCCTAAGAAGAACCATCTGGTGAAATTAATGTGTTTATCAGAACTTGTTCTCTGCTTTTACTATTCTATGTGGCATTGGGCTGAACGAGTGCAGCTGTTTCCCTAAGTAGGCACATGCGAATAACAGTAGATATCCAAACACAAGCAAGAATCCCATGCAAAATCCAGCTGCAGAGCATAAACGCCCCACAGAAACATTAGCAGCGTCTTCCTCCCACTGCCCAGCCTGGGAGTCATTTAAGAGGAAGAAGAAGAAAGTCAAGAAAACAATCCAACCAGACAAAAGAATTAAACAAAGTAAGTGCAACTCCAGAGACTGTGGGTTCCTTCTCCCCTTCTAGGCATGTGAGAAATACCACAGTGAGTGGATATTTTTAAAAAGCAACTTTCTAGTAATACATTATAGAAGATAAGCTGTGACTCTTCTGCATCTTCTATTACTTTGTAAAACACCAGAGCTCTACTTGGCTCATTAAAAACGCTCAATGAGTTGTGGTCAAGAAGTACATATTGATTGTTGTAGAAGAATCTGTTTTTCCATCTGCCTCAATGCCCACTTCCCTATCTCTGCTTCCTGGAGTGTGGCCTCCTCACAGCCAGGTTTGTCACATGACCTGAGCCAGCCCAAGTAGCCCTTGCCTCAAAATCAGGTCCAGTGATGGGAGTCTAACCCACACAAGACCACGGCATAGTCTTCCTGAGATGGACACGGTCACTAGGTATGTGAGTGTCCCAGTACCGCCATACACATCACTCAAGCTGACTGGCAACAGGAATTTATTCTCTCACAGTCCCAAAGTCCAAAACTGAAATCAAGGTGATAGAAGGGGCCTGGTCACCCTGAAGTCCCTGGGGGAGGTCTTTCCGTGCCTCCTCCTCATTCCCAGTGGTTGTGGACTGCAGTCATGGCAGAGTAGGGTCTACCTTACTGCAGTATGAACATTTCTTAAATTACACCTCCATTATATCTGCAAGGACCATGCTTCCAAAGAAGTTCACATTCATAGGAATTGGTAGTTGGAACTTTAACATACCATTTTGGGAGATGCAAGTCCACCTGAAGCACTAAGTGAGAATCTCTCTGACTGTAATTCCAAGTTCGGGGCCACGTAAGCCTGCTTGCCTACTGAAAGAAAGAAGTAGGCAGAACCAAGGGGGAGTGAAAAATGAGGACAGGAGGGTGGTATTACTATTGATTCCCTGGATTACAGCTAAGTCTAAATCCCACTCCATCTTCTGATCTCCCAGTAGCATGATCAATAAAACACTTTTCATGTTTAAATGTATTTAGTTTAGGTTTCTGTCACTCACAACCAAGAAATCTCTTTGATATATCCAGCAATGAATAATGCTGTAAAGTAACAATCCAAATACTTTCCCATAATCTGGCTGGGGTATTTATAAAAATGATTAGCCAGTATTATTCTGTTGTAAGGCTGCATCTCCTGGTTTATAGTACCCATGATTCTGTCCTCCAATTAAGGCTGGCATCATCATCATCCAATTAAGGCTGAAAGGAAGGGATCCTGTCCTCTTCCCGGATGGGTGATTCTCAACCCCAGCTATCCACTGGAATAGTCTGGGATCTTTTAAAACTCCTGATGCTCAAGCTGCACCCCAGACCAACAGTTTCCGGGGATGGAGGCCAAGCATCAGTGTTTCTCCTCCATGACTGTAATGAGGAGCTAGGACTCAGACCACTGCCTTGGCCAGAGCTAGACCCACAAGGCGGTTAGCCTCTTTGGATGTGCGCCTTGTTTCTCTAAGGTGTGGCCTACAATTCATCAGACCAACCCTATTTCCTGAGTTACTCACGTGAACAGATTTCAATCAAGCCACACCCCAGCTCCTTCCTTTTAGTGTTAGTTTCCTAGAGCTAGCATGACAAAAGACCACAATTACAGAGGCTTAAAACAACAGAAATTTATTCTCCTAGTTCTGAAGCTGCAGGTCCAAAAGCAAGCTGTTGGCAATCTGAAAGCTCCAGGTGGGTGAGGATCCTTCCTTTGCCTCTTTCCAGCTCCTGGAGATTCCCGGCAATCCTTGGTGTTACCTGGCCTCTACACACATCGCTCCAATCTCTACCTTCCTTGTCACTTGATGTACCCTTGTCTGACTGTTACCTTTCTCTTCTTATAAGAACATGAGTTATTTTAGATTAAGAGTCCAGCTCTATAGCTAATTATACACACAAAGACCCTATTTCCAAATAAGGTCATATTCTAAAGTTCCAGGAAGGATGTAAATTTGAAAGGGGAGGACACTAATTAACCTAGTGTCCTCTCCCTCACCCATACTAAGTCTTAGACTTTGTCTTCCAAAGAATGCAGGTGAGACCTAGCAAACTGGGAGTACAAAGCCTTTCTGTGTGGTACCACATGCCTGTAGTATCAGCACTCCAGGAGCCTGATGCCGGAGGACCATAAGTTCAAGCCCAGCCTGGATGGACTCAAGGAGACTATCTCAAAAAAAAATAAATAAATAAAAGACCTTGGAATGTAACTCAGTGCAAAGGCCCTTGGTTCAATCCCTAGTAATGCCAAAAAAACTACTTTGAAACCATTTCAGATTTATAGAAGGGTTGTAAGAATAGCACAGCAAGGTCCCATATACCCTTCATCCTGCCTTCGCTCATCCTATAAAGACTTGGTAAAAATATAAAACCTTAAGACATTACCACTGGTATGACAGTACTAAGCCATATACTTTATCCATATTTTACCAGGTTTCCTAACAATACTCCAACTGGGATACCACCTTGAACTTAGCATAATGCTTTTCAGAATGAAAAGGGTCCGAGCCAAGCTCTATCCACAGAACCAAAATTTCCTTTCAGGCTTCCTTCCCTTGTGACCCTCTAACCTTGTATACACCTTCATGTTTGCATTCAGCCAGCTTGAGGTTTCACCTGTACATCTTTCCTGTTTGGATCTGACAGTCCTGATTTTTCATTCACATTCATTTCTAACAATTTTGAGGTCACACAGCTACTCCAAGAATCTAACAGAAACTACCTCTGAGAAAAATGCATAGGCAATACCAATTCTGCATCCAATTTCAGAGCAGTGGGACATAGATTCCCCCTCCCGTCCCCAAGGGCTTCTACTTAGGTACTTCCTTCCTTCCACAGTTTGGCCTCCCTAGGCACTGATTCTGCAACACAGTCAGCACCTCTCACTATCAAGTCCTCTCCCAAGACACATCTCCAGGTCCAGGATATAGTGGCCAGTGTTTGTGCTCTGGGATTTGGCCAGCATCAGCTGCCTCAGCCACTGCCGAGGGTTGAGGCTGAGAAACGCTGAATAGGCAAAGCTCTTCATCCGGGCCCTAAAAGCCACTGGCTTCTCTTCAGCCAACTGCTCAGCATAAGCTCCACAATTCTACTTTACACAATAACACTAGAGAGTTTACTTTCTCTTCGAGTATCAGAAACATCTCAGAACTTAACATTTCTCAGTCCAAAATCCATGTTAGCATCTGAGTTTCAACAAAGAAAAACGACTCCAGTGAGCAGAGGAGTATTGACAAGCTCTACCGAGTTTGGATCTTTGGTCATTTTTAAATGGCAGAGACCTTGGGCAATGCCTGCTTACTACTCTTTATCTTTGGAAACAGTATTCGAGGCCCCCCACAAGGAAAACTACAAATATCAATTCTGCACCTCTGTGTGCTCTCTTAAGCCCTATACCAGCCCTTGCAGCAGGTATGGAAGAAAAATAAAGCCCTCCCTCCCTGCTCACTCCCATAGTTTATGTTCGAGCCTCCTGTTCCACCCTATTTCTTAAATGCAATCCCCATGCCTCACTGTTGGGGACAGCCCCAGGTCTCATCTGAGCTACTCGATTGGTGGTGAAGGTCCGTTCAGTCTCCTTCGCCGTGGGGTCACATTTTCTCCTCTAGCAATACCCCACCCAGGATCACCCCAATGACCCAGAAAGCAACAGCATCAGAGAACAGACAAAAACCATTCCTAGGACAAGGCTGGTGTGCTCTTACCTTCTGCAAATGGTTCCCATTCATAAAACCGGCCCATGAATGGTTTGTTGTTGTAAGAGGCACACTGTACCTCGCGGATACTTCTACTGCTTTCTGGACATGCCTAGACGAGCAGAGAGGAAAGAGGGAGTTAGTGTCCATCCTTCCCACACTCCCGGTCAAATCCAAGGTTACCTTTCCATTTTGAACACCTGTCCTCCTCTTCTAAGCCAGGGTTTCTGAAAATGTGCTGGCCCCTGGCATCAGAAGCTTAAATACAGATCCCAGGATTTGGTCCAAGTCTACAGGCTCAGAATCCCTTAGGCACATGACTTTTTTTTTTTTGTACCAGGGACTGTACTCAGGACCTTGTGCCTGCGAGGCAGTCGATGGAACCACTGAGCTAAATCCCCAGCTTAGGGCATGACTTTTTAACAAGCTCCCCAGGTTAACTGTCTGCACACCATAATGTGAAAGCCACTGACTCAAATTTTCTGATCCTGACAGGTGGGTCTGCTCATGGTGTCCCTCACAGAGGGCCACCCAGTCCTACCTGAGTTCAACACAGTTTGCTCCCCTCCTCACAGACTGATGCCCACACCAAGCACAGCTCAAGCCTTTACCGTGAGCCAGGTGCTACTTTCAGCATACTACAAGCATTAACTCATTTAATTCCCACAATACCAACGAGGTGAATATTATAGCTTTACCGTTTTCCACAGATGAGCAAATGGAGGCACAGAGGAGTCGCAGAGCCCGGGAAGGGTAGAGCCTAGACTCACATCTAAGAAGTCAGGTGGCCACCAGGCTCTCTCACCGCCTGCCCCATCTCTCCTAAATGTTTACTGCCCTCTAGCTCCCTGGAGCTAGAGCTCCCATACTTCGGCATGCAAAAGAATCACCCAGAAATCTTGCTAGAAATGCAAACCCCTGGCTCCATCCCCCAGAGATCACTATTTGGTGAGTCTGGGATGAAGTCCAGGAATCTGCATGTTATCAAGTATATCCAGGTGACTCTGACTGGCTAGACTAGAAGGAAAATATGCAGCTCTTTCTGGTTGATTTCTTTCTAATTTATAAATGGTAAATAGAGCAGAGCATGACATAAAATGGGTGCAAAAAATAAAAGCAAAGTCAGCATCTCTAATTCATATTGTGGATAAAGCAATGATCTAACTTTCTAATACCCAGCTGTGCACTTTTAAAAATGTAATGGTATGGGTTTGCATTTGAAAGTGTGTGTGTGTGTTTGTGTGTGAGTGTCACCAGAAGAAAAGAGAAAGGATCCTGGCTCCTTAAACATTAAAAAATATTGCGTGGGCCGGGGATTTAGCTCAGTGGTTCCGCTGCCTGCGCAAGGTCCCAAGTTCAATCCCGATACCCCCCAAAAAACATTGTGTATAGGAAGTCTCTGGAATAAACTACAAATGTTGTAGCTCAAAGTCCTCAGGATTTATAAAGAAATCTACTATATGCATTAGATACCAGGTCTCCTGGAAAATAAAGAACATAGGACTGAGGCCTGACAGGAGGTCAAACATCCCTGGCTTGGTAGAGAATAGGGCAAGGAGGCTGTTGGCACCAACCCCACAGTAGTCAGAACCCGGCTATGGTCTGAGCCAAGCCATATGGAGCAAGAAGCAGAATATGATGGGAACCATGGGGAAGGGGTAGGAGGACAGGCAGGGTGGACTGAGCACTGACATCCATGACAAGATGCCAGGCAGGGGCTCCGGAAGCCCATGAGCTGGTCCCCCTGACTCTGGACCGACCTAGTCAGGCTTCCAGCAATACCAGCTGTCCCCAAGAAGAGGTTTGGGTTAGGGTGCTTCTTTGTAATTAAGGTAGGATTATAGATGATTTCGCTTCATAATTAAGTTTCAGTTTATTTATATTCCCCAATTTTTCTGCTATACATATATATGCAACAAAAAGACTCGATCAGTATTGAGATTTTCCAAATACACTGGCCCTTAGCCAGTTTTGTATGTGTAAAATTTATATCTTACGTCTTATAGTGTAGTGTAATCCCCAGTAACACCTGGTTCTCTTATGTCCATAACATCCATACACATACACTAAGCCAACCAGTCACCTCTGAGGAATCACACAGGGTACCACGTCCACTGGTTCAACAAGCTCTTTGTGTCTGAGCCTGGCCCTCCTGGGGCCCTCCTGGGACCTCCTGAGACGGGGGCTCACTGTGGCATGGGACCCACGGTGGAAGGTCAAATGCTAAGGGAGCAAAGCACCCACAGGAGCCTGGAATCAGCCGAGCCCCACAGGGTAACTGTAGTGTCCAGCAAGCAGGTGACATAGGAAGATGCAGTGGGAGGTAACAGGATACCCTGGAAGATTGTCATGGCTCCGTGTGTGACCCTGAGCAGGGACTCATGTGATGCCAAGTGAAGTGTCATTTGGAGCTGGATACAACTTCCTGAGGAGGAGAGGAACCTGGCTGAAGAAATGTGAGACTTGCTGAGCCCAGGCCTGTATGCAGGTTGTTGAGACAGAACTGTGGTACAGGCAAAGAAGGCAGATCCTGGAGTAAAGAGGGTGATCACGATTATCTGAATAACTAACCATTCTTGAGTACTTACTAAATGCCAGACTCTGCCAAGATATTTGTATAGATTAGCTAACAACTACTGTACCCATTTTACTTTGTAGTTATTTTTTCTTTCTTTTTTTTTTTGGTACCGGGGATCAAACTTGGGTCCTTGCGCTTACGAGGCAGGCAGCGAGCAGAACCACTGAGCTAAATCCTGGCCCTCTACCCATTTTACTGCTGAGAAAACCAAGACAAAGAAAAGTTAAGTGATGTGCCCAGGTCACAGGGCCAGTAAGAGCTAAAGTCAGCATCTGAGCCCAGACATCTTGGGTCTGAAATTCATGCTCGTAACCATGATATTATGGAGGTTTTCATGACTGTGTGGGCAACAAAAGTAATTTGTGACGTGGGTCTTCAGACAAGACAGCTTAACTGCTTCCTGCCAATTGTCAGGATAGGTCTAGAGGCCAAGGTCAGATTCATTCAACCTCAAAGGCTTGCTCGAAGCTGCTAGCTCCAACTGTAAGGACAAGGGAGCTGGGAGTGGTGGTGCCTGCCTGTAATCCCAGCACTAGGGAGGTTGAGAAAGGAAGATCGAGAGCATTCAAGGCCAACCTGGGCTATACAGTGAGACTATATCACAAAAAACTAACTAACTAAAAGGAGCAAAGAGCTATGGAGTGAGGATTAAAACCCAGCAAAGCCTGAGGAATCCTGTTTCACACCTCCTTTGTAGATTACATCTGTTTGCACTTATAACGTCCAGGTGTGGACTGCAAACCACTGCTTTGCTGGAAAAAGTAGGTTCTGGCGTTCTTAAACTCGGCGTCAGTAAAGAACTAAAGAGGCCATGTTTAAAGTAAAAGGATTTGTCTGAAGATGGGAAAGGAGGAAAAGAGAGATGACCCACAACTACCCAGAACGAGTAGGGAGAATTCGAAAGTGAATTGTTCCTGGGTGCTGGCCAGCTTTTTTGTAAGGTTTCTTCTTCCTGTGTAGGCTCCTGGAATCTGATTGGCTCTCTGGCTTGTTTTTCATTTTCACTTTGGATTTCTTCTGGTCATGCGACCTTTCACTGTCCTTTGGTGAAGGGTAAGATTATGGGTGGGGGCCTTAAGGGGTCAAGTAAAGGAAAAGTTTGCGATTTTATATTAATGGCACCACCTGGGAAATTCCGGGTCCTGAGTTCTTTGCCTTTATCTTCCTACTTGCTTGGATCTAGCTGCCTTTGTCTAATTCCTCAGTCTTTGCCCTTCTAATTGCTGGAGTCTGGCTGCAGACGTCAAAGCTGTCGTATTAATTTTTAATAAAGCTCATTGAGGCCTTCATCCTGTCTTTTCCCTACCTATGGGGGAGGCAGGGGCCTGTCCCTACATAACTGTCCCACTCTTATCTGCATATAATCTCCTCTCATCTTTAGATTCTCTAAAGTTAAAACTTCCAGGTTACAGATCATCTTACATTTGTTACACTTTAAATCGATTGCTTCCTGATGTCAGATTGAGTCATCTTCACCTTGTCAGCAATCATCTCTCATATTACAGCAGGAGTTGGCCTTGGGCAGGTTTCCTCAGAGAGCTGGTCCTTTCCATGGGCACAGATTCTTGTCACCTTCAGGCCAGAAAACTGAGAAGGAGGTTGGAGGGAGCCTCGTAGACAGAGAACAGGTTCATTCAGGATGGGACCTGAGCTTTACAGCCAAACAACACCCATGGGAGCGAATCTCCCTTCAGATAACTCCCTTCTGCCTCAAAGAGGGTGGGATGTTCCCACTGGACTCTCAATGGGAGAGAAGTAAAGATGTGCTTTAATAGGACGAGCTGAATCCTTATAAAGCAAGACAGGCCCTCTCCAGTGTTCCATCAAGACAATTGCCTGGGGTTGCTATGAGTCACCAAGCGTATTTTGGAAACTTCAGCTGCATTTCTGGTGACCCTGGTTAAGCTGAGTTGACAGCCTTGCATACCTAACACCACTGCTCAAGAGGCCACCCTCAGGGTCAAATGCTCACCTTTGTAATTAATTACTCTCCTCCCGAGGAGGAGGTAAAGAGCACCATGCCCCAGGAAGGTCCTGCCAAGGAACCCAACCTAGAAGCCTTCCTGGGTCAGATAGGCATATTTTTTTTAACCCGTGGCCTTGCTCTGGAGTCAATCAAAAGATCTGCTACCATAGCAACGTATAGTGTATTTAACATTACCAGTGAAGAAATCTAGAAAATGTCCCTGCATTGCCATGAGAAAGTGGCTGGATGACCTTGGGTAAAACACTTACTTAGCCTCTCAAAGCTTACATTCTCACATCTGAATGACAAGTCTTGTACCCACCCCCTCTGAAAGTCCCCAATCTCCAGGGATTGTTGTGAGAAAGAAATCAGTATATACCAAAGTTGCCCGCTCACAGTAATGCTCAATAAATATTAGCTGAATGAAGGAACCGAAGATGGATCCAGCAGTCCTAGAAGCCTTGAGTCTCTGAAAAGCCAGAGTTCTGAGCAAACACTCCCTCTTCTACTGCTGGAAAACAGGCTTCAATCTCCAGCTACAGAGCAACAGAACTAGGCACTCAAGTTT